TTAAGCCTCTCCAGCAAAACACTAAGATCTTTCCTCATGAAACAGAATTAGAAAATGGTTTATTATAATAGTAATAGTATCCACATACTTATTGGCATGGAAGGTATGTGCCTTTTTGAAAATAAAACAGCAAATTAAGGCTGGATGATTAATCGAAAAAAAGTCCTCTAACAGAACCTCTAACTGACGTAATTTTCCCATGTCGATTATTATTATTTTTTTAATCCTGTTAATACTTTCCCTTTTATTATCTTCTACTTTTCACACTGCATTATTTAACATAATATGTATTTACAAGAGATACAATGTATTTTCTACTTTTTACATGTAATATTTAAAATGTATTTTGTTTGCAAGAGATGCTGGTTATTTTCTACTTTGACATGGCAATATTCATTTATTTTGATTGCAAAAAATTCAAGTTATTTATTTTCTGCTCTTTTATTTTTAGGAAACTTGCTTTTTACATTAAAACTGAAATGTGACTTTTTTTTTCATAAGATGTTTTCATTTCAACCAATGTGTGCTTTTTGATTTCAATTGTTCGAAATATTCAATGAATAACCATAAATAGTTAGTGTTTCCTTCAATTATTTTAAAATCACAAAGATAAGACATGCACTCTTTCATTACAAAAAAAAATCCCATCTTGTCAATGAACAACAACAACAACAAAAGAATACTAATAAAAATAATAATCATAATCGAGATAAAATGTTAAATTAATCGAGATTTTGATTTTAGGTCTCATCGTCCAGCCCTACAGCACATATACATTATGTTTCATTCTCTAGTATTTGAGAAATTTAGCTTGGTTTCACAAAGACAGACAAAAACATAACAGGAAAAGAAAGAACAAAATCTTCAGGACACACAAGCGCTAAAAGATTACTGATAGTCTGATCAGATCTGTGGGAGACACAATAAATTAAGTCATTCACTGATACTTAAGCAAAGCCTTGCATCAAAACACACCTGCTTGAAATAATCAATTCTTATGATTAATATCCCATTACATCATAAGAAGCTTTGCATTCCAGTTTTACTTTCTTCAGGTGTATCCATGTAGGCTTAAAATCACGTCATAACTATTAACATACTTCACAATTGCGTGAGTCTCAGGTACAGTACAGTACACACCTGCTTTAAATGATAACCATGTCAACTGGGGCGAACCCAAGGCAAATAGACAGATCTTCTCTCTCTGTTCTGAACCATAATAGGAAGTCAAACTAAAAGGCAAATAATAGAAAACTCTTCTGCTCTCTGTATTTGAATAAAGAGCAGCCCTCATTTCCACTGGACAAGAGCAAACACTGAAACATTGTTTTCTTAAAAATATAATAATATAATATAATATTACTACTACATAATCATCAACAAATTACATTTAAAATGAAAAAGAATACATAAAAATAATAATCATCATCATCATAATTGTATACATTATTATATTCAATACTGGATTTTTCATACTCTTTGTTACGTATTTCCATCATAACTTAATCACTCAAAGCTATGTACTTTAAAAAAAATAATGACTCTTTTTTTTTCACAATTGAGTTTTTAGGTCACATTTTTTTAAGAATTACGAGATATAAACCCAGAATTGTGAAATAAAAAGTCGCAATTACCTTTTTTTTTTTCCCATGGTGGAAACAAGCTTTCACATAATGTGGTCCATTTAAAACATAATTTTGAAGATTTTATTATTTTTATTTTTTTTGCAGAAGGCAATAATATGCTTTCAGTATTAATTGATTAACTGTGTATCTCTAGTGTCTATAGGTTGAACTAGTATTTTAATTACTAAACTGCTCAAACCAGATCTACTGAAGGAAAAGAACACAGTGTTCTCTCTCTCTCTCACACACACACACACACTATTCTTACAGGTGGTGGAAAATAAACACTAATGTACATAGTTACACACCATCAGCCCAACCTTGGGTCTCACTCATACCTGTCAGTTAGTGACTAGTAAAGTTTTGTTATACTGGGCTGGGATGGGTGGAGAGGAATGTAAAAACGTCATTATTTGTAATACAGTTAGACTGGTTGTGTGAGATTGTGCTGGACCATTTTACTCTATTAGTCCCATTTACTTGCTTGGAATGATAAACTATGATTTGTCAGAGGAACACATCCGAGGAAAAAAACAAGAAAAATTAAAGGATCAGCTGATGAAGCTGCAACCAGTTACTTCTGATATTAATAATAACAGTCTGAGAGTGAAAAAGCTTCTCTGTTAAAAGTAATTCTACATAAAAAGTTAAGCTCGCTCACATGAATGCTGCCATTTTGGGTCTTGCAATTTAAGTTATAGTAATAAAAACAACAATAATATTTATAATAAAACATGTTCTTTTTGTATTGAACTTTTTCTGTTCTTCTCATGGGGACTTTACAAAGCATACAAATGCAAAACAAGTAAACCAAACATGGTCATGGTCAAGTCATGTGTGTGATCCACTAATCCAAACAGAATGAGTACGAATGGAAAAATAACAAGTCCAAACAAGCAGACGCTGATGGAGCAATGAATCAAATGGGCCTGACAATCTGCAACACCAATGCCATATAACAAGGACAAAGAGCAGGACCTCGAACACCGAAGGCCACAGCTGCTTTCAAAATGCCCCTATGACCAAACGCAAAGCAACAACACAGCCTTTACACTTCCCTATCTCTCTGTCAAAGACCAGAACAGGAAGTCGACTGGACAAATCAGCAAGCTGGCCTAATATGCAAATAAAGTGAAACTCACACACCTTCTGTTTTTGAATATAAGCAACCCTCATTTCCAAAGAGCTAAAGAAAAATGAAGCTAAGCAACTCCTAAATTGAAACTATAACCAAAATAATAATAATACAAAATTTATCAAATTTGTGTTCTGTTTCCTACCAAAATCTGTGCCTATTTACACATGTCCCATGGAAATAGTTCATGTCATTTATGGTTAAGAATAACATAACTATACTCAGGGTTGGGGACAATTCATTTTTAAAGGGGTCATATGATGCTTTTTTAAAGATCATTATTTTGTGTATTTGGTGTAACAGAATATGTTGACATGCTTTAATGTTCAAAAAACACATTATTTTTCAAATACTGTACATTATTGTAGGTCCTCTATGCCCCGCCTCTCTCAAACGCTTCGTTTTCTACAAAGCCCCTCCTTCCGACAAGCGCAGTCTGCTCTGATTGGCCAGCTGACCCAGTGCATTGTGATTGGCCGAACACCGCAAGCACTCGTCGGTAATGTAACACCCCTTACCAGATTCTTATCTTTCAAAATAAATGTAAAGACATTTGTCGTGTGACAGACACAGTAATGAAGCTGGTATGTGTGCATTACATAAGCCACGGTTAAGACAGCTGACTCCACTGTGATCTCTATCTCTCTCTCTCGCCGCTTCAACACTAAGTGCGGTTACTGAAACCACGCCTTCTTTCTTTGCGTAAACGTTTGGGCGGCATTATGCTAATATTTCCACATCGTGATGTAGACATGTGGGGGCGTGTTAGAACGAGCCGTTTTAGGGGGGGGCGTGGCAGAGTCTTAACTTTGATAAGAATATCTCTTTGGTTTTGAGACTTTAGTCTTTGCAACTTCAGGGATCTTATCTATGCACAATCAGCTTGTAACGCTCCAAAGAGAAAGGAAAACTTGAAATCGCATCATATGACCCCTTTAAAATAAATTAATAAACCAATATCTTTTGTCAAATGTATATGAAGGAGATCTGGGTCATATTTGCAACACCCTAGCAACCACACAGCAACACTAAGAACACCTTAACAACCTCATCATGGCAGCTCAAAACCTAAAATCATATGTGAGACTTTAATAGGTTTTACTACACTAAAGCACCCCAAGAAAGTCCTCATGACAGCTCTGATCAGGCTAGACAGATGCCTCCGAAGCAGTTCAGTAGACCTGTGGAGTTTGTTCTAAGCAGAAAATCAAAGGACAAGATAAAACACATTATAAATATGAAAGGACAGCACAGGGAATAATGCAACTGCATTACCGAAACAAAGTATGCATTCAGCTGCTGTAGCTGTATCAATGGACGATGAAGTTGATTATGTTCAGACAAATTCACTGCTATTTCAACATAAATATTTGATAAATAAAATATATACAAATCGCAGAAAAAAACAGTTTGACAATGTGTGAAAAGAACACAAAGTCCATGAAATATTATATATATATAAAACATTTTTTATTAATAATATGTGTGTGCGTGTGTGTATGTGTATAATATATATATATATATATTCCCCCATGCCACTGATTCTTTAAACATGGGACAAAAAATTTCATGACTATCCCTGTCATTAATTTATCAAAATAAATCTTAGCAAAATTGTCATTATTTCATCAAAACTATGTCACAGATATTCTAAACTAATAGTTGGTGTTTAGAAAATTTATTTATAAGGTCCAGAAAAACAATAATATTATTATTTATTAACTCAATACAAATATGTTTGAAACCATCCTGTTGTGTTACATTTGTGTTATATTGAATTAAATGATTTGTAAATATTTGCAATCCATATTTGGCCATATTCTTTATGACCCTAATCATGTTGACTCATACTGAGTGGGAAAAACACTTTTGCAAAAACAAACAAACAAATAAATAAATAAATAAAAGAGACTGCACCCAAACATAACTCCCCCCTCCTGCCCCCTCCAGTCAGTTTTACTAAACACTATCAGTGATCACTCGATTTATGAAGTGAATAATTATTATTGAATAATGTTCACAGGAACACCCAGGAGGCGAAGCTGCTTGCCTAACATTGTTTTACAAGGGCGGCTTACTGAAACCTGTCCACGCAAAAGAGACCAAAACAAACTATGATTAGCTGTTTGGTAGCATATCACTTTAAACTTTAAATCTTTAACTCATAATGGAATAGTTTTGACACAACTCGAACACCCACACCACAAAATGATTTCCCCATAGACCACAATGACACTCACTCAGACTTTTTGCGTGATCTGTTGGCGTGGAGGTCCAGTAAGTTGATGACAGCCTGTCCCAAAAACTTGTCCAGCCCCACCAGGGCTCGGTGCATGGCGATGATGTAGAGCGTGCACCGCTCCGCGTCCCCCTGATGGATCAGCGGCAGATCGAAGCTCGCCTCCTCCTTCCACTCGGGCGAGACGCATTTCTCCGCGACCGAGGTGGAAAACTTGTCCTTGGCCACCTGCATGATGGCATAGGCGTCGTTCGTGCCATTCTTGCCCTTGATCCGCAGGTTTCGTGCTTTGAGCACCGTTACCTGAACGCTGGTGGGATACCACTGCTGGTCACCCAAAGACATTCTCAGTTAAACTCCAGGTTCAACAGGGACGAAAGGTAGCGCTTCGTTCGCTCAAGCCCGCTCGATGTGTGCCGCGCGCCGCTCTGGCTCCTGAGTGAAACTGTTCGGGAGCTCTCATAGGCCCCGCCCCTCACGCGTGACGTACACTGTGCGCCCAGCGCTCAGGTGATGCAGGTATCACTTCATCCTTGCATTAAACCATTTAAAGCGCTTTTGGGAGTAGGCTAAGCACACGTATAACCCTGTGATAACGTCTTTTTAAATCCCAGGTTACATTCGCGCAGCTTTTAACCTTTGGTCATAAGTTAACCCCGAATTAAGCTGCTAAAGGTGTACAGTAAACAACGTGGTTGCTAAACTGTTTCAGCGAGATCAGAAACTGACTCCGCGATTAAATATCCGTGCATTTGTAGTAGCCTAACAGAAACCTTCACGCCTGAGATATCAGTTTACCTTTATGTCGATTTTAAAAACTGTTCTCAGAATATCTTTGTTGAAGACTTTCCTCGGTTTACTTCCTCAGACTTTATTAACGTTAGATCACGCGAATCGCTGTAGAGCTCAGATAACGGCTATTCAGCCGAACAGAAACAGAAAACGTCAGTATGAGTAGTTGTTTTGAAGCCGATAAGTTAAATCCCAGGTTACATTCGCGCAGCTTTTAACCTTTGGTCATAAATTAACCCCGAATTAAGCTGCTAAAGGTGTACAGTAAACAACGTGGTTGCTAAAATGTTTCAGCGAGATCAGAAACTGACTCGGCGATTAAATATCCGTGCATTTGTAGTAGCCTAACAGAAACCTTCACGCCTGAGATATCAGTTTACCTTCATGTAGATTTTAAAAACTGTTCTCAGAATATCTTTGTTGAAGACTTTCCTCGGTTTACTTCCTCAGACTTTATTAACGTTAGATCACGCGAATCGCTGTAGAGCTCAGATAACGTCAGTATGAGTAGTTGTTTTGAAGCCGATAAATCATCTTTCAGACTGACTCGGTCTCCTGCTATCTGTAAATCACTGTAATTTGGCAATAAACCGCCTCCACTACGCTACCGAGGTCAGTGTTGTCAGTAGCTTACTAGCGTGATGCTCATTCCTTCTCAGTGTTTGTCCCGCCCACTCTCTAGAGTACCGCACTCTGATAGGATGATGCATGTGTCAATAATGCAAGGCTCACTTTTGATTGGCTTCATTTCGTGTGAAGGATGTCGATTTACATGTTACATAGAAACAGAAGTTACGTGCCTAATGCAAAACGTGGGCTGGGATTTTTCTCTTTAAATCACATATGATACATTCTAGGAAACATAAAAATACGAGAGAAGTTATTTAGATTTTATGGCATTTTTCCAAACCTTTATTTTGCATCAGGTCATAGATAAGGCACAATCTTAGGCATCTATAGGAAATATATTACTGAAATCGATACAAAAATGCTGCTATCATTTTCATATTGAAGTGAGTGACAAAAATATAAATATTAATGCTAATATTGAAATCTCCCTTTTAAACTTCGAGATGACAATCAAAACATTATTTAGGATAACACTGAAATTATACTGACCCTCAGAAGCTCTAGGCCAACCCAGAGGCAAAGAAAACTGTTCATGCAAATATCACAATGTCACCTGAAACCATTATGCACAAACAAGTCATTTACAATTTTGTATCTTTTTTTTAAAGAAAAAAACATACATACACATGGCAAACTTTGAGCAGGCCACAAATTCCATGTATTATTTGACTACATTCTTTGTTGTTGTCGTTTCAAATGACACTTTGCCCCAAAAACTACTGAAATCATATACAACCAAAATGAAATACAATATATGTACACTGGTCATCATGACGTTAAATGCTTTTTGATTTGGGAAAAGGGAGGACTGGTTCTTTAGCAATGTGTGGTCTTTGAATGTTTAACAATTCTGAGGGAGATTTCTGGCTACACAATATCAAATAACCTCATACTTACAGTGAGCTTTCTTTGGCATACAAATATCCCTGAACACACTTTAAAATCATTTTATTTTAATCAAAGTGTAGCTAAAGCTAAAGACAGCCAACACTTGTGACTTCGTCATGATGTGATCTAAAAATAATGGCACTTCAGTCAGTATCTGATAGCTTGTGGGCCTTGGAAAAAAACAGTCAGTGCAAAGATCTGAATTCCCCTTTGTCGGGCGGTCGGGATTGTCCATTCTTTGCTTTCGTGAGAAAAAGACACTTGGGCACTTGAAAAACAAAAGGGGGGAAGCATGGGAGGTCTAGCTTTGATTGTTGGTGTGCTTTTAGACTAAAAACAGAGAGTTTATAAAACTGATAAGGCCAATCCTCTGTAAAACACAGATATCATAAAATTGCATAATGACAGTTACATCAATATTAATACTGATATGTATATATGTATTTATAAGAATATGCCAAATGCTCTCTTCACAACCTGAACCAAGTGCTAAAAGAAGCCCATGTTACACAAGGTACTACAACAGAACATGTACTGTATGGACAAACACTCGCCCTTCATTATCAAATCCCTTAGTAACTCTGGAGTGACATCTGAAGCAGCTGTCACTTTGTTGATATCATTTGTCCATCAACAGCATTCATTATCAGTGCATTTGATCAATGGCAGAAATGTCCCAATAGAGGGCCCTGTTACACAACATTTTCCAAATAGTTCCTATTCACTAAAAACTGAATGCAATAGTTCACTTTCTGCTTAATAACATCAGAAGAACAAGAACGACATTCCCAGCACCAGTTAAGCATTGGATGGAAATCTTGGGGATGGATGGATCAATGGCAAGTCTTTGTTTTCTATATTTGTGTGGGACTGATGTCAAAAGCTGCTTATTAGTGCCAGAGAATTGAATTAACACTGTAATGGTCAAACAATACATACATAACACTATATACATTCTTATAGACATGTAAATGAAATAGCGTGAATAAAAACATGAGCACACAAGAGACAAAGACATAAAGGGACTGAACAAGAAAACTTCGGTAACAAGCGAACAGGTTCTCCATCCTGATCGATATGCATATTCAGAAACATAAAGATCAACACAGCTAAACAGCTGAACTTTAGGTTCAGATCCCTTGGCATATTCAATATTAAAAGATTCATTATGTTCAAACAGTTTGTTAGATTAAGTGGTATTACAGGCAAACAAAAGCAATCAAGATGATTTTGCATATTTTGTCAAACCAACTCTTCCAATGTCTTTTTAGAGGAGTCAGGTTTTGCATACACACCCTTTCTTTTTCTTCATATAAAACAGCCTCACACAGCTTCTCCTTATTAGCATGCTTAGCATGTTGGACGGTTTAAAGACCACAGAACACCTTCAAAGCTTACAAGCTTAAGTTTGTTTAGCCGGTCTCCCAGCCTATCCAAGCTGATGTTTAGCTTGGCTGAAAAGTGTCTAAAACCATCCTAGGCTGGTTTAAACTAGTCTTTTCAGCTAGGTTGTGGAGAAAGAAATGCATGCTTTGGCATCTAGCAGACAAGTTACACATTCAAGAAACCTTCAAAGTCTTTCAACTCTACCTGCAGCTCATTATTATACAGTTGTCTCGCTCTTCCATACCCTCCTCTTCATACCAACCGAACCCTGTGATTGGTCAGTTCCGCTAGTGTCCAATTCCACCACGGATCCCTTTAGTGTTCCATTAGGTGCTGAAACTGTCGTCAACAAGGCCGTCGCAGTGACATTTGATGTCACATTTAGAGGGAACGAGCTCCGCTTTGATTCTCTCTCAGCCGTGGCGGCCAGTTTAAGATTGTCTTTGCTAGCGCTGCAACATTGAGCAATTTGTTGCATGGTGGACCTACTTGCCATCGAAGGCAACAGGGGAAAAGGTTTTTTACTTCCGCTGCTACCTCCATCGCTACCTTCCGAAGGGCTTGTCGCTAGTCCCTCCCCTCTGTGCCGCCCATTGGTCAGAAGGCCATTCTGACCCTCTGAATGGCTATTCCGTAGACTTCCATTCTCGCTGGAAGCGTGTTTGTGTAGATGGTGGATGTTTGATTGCTCTGTCCCAGAAGGTCCCAAAGCGCCCATGCTACCTCCTCCACCTGCCCTGAGAGCTTTGAGGCGGTAATGCCCTCTCCCGTCCCCCCGGTGATGGTACTGGGTGTTGCCACCCCTGGTTCTACTACAAGCCTTCCTCCTTTGAGGCTGCTGGACAGGCAGTAGACAGGGCAACAGATTGTTGGCTGGCTTGTTGTTCTCCGTGCTTGTACTTGTGTTGGTATTAGTTCCCGTTGGTGCTCGGGTGGTATTATTCACGTTGTCTTGTGTCACTTGAAGGAGGTTGGTGAGTTTGCAAGGCCCGGCGGCGATGCTCGCCGTTCCACTTTGAGTAGATGATGACCTGGCAGAAGAAGAGTAATTGTTGGTGTCCGTTGGTGGGTGGCATCCTACAAAAAGTTGGGAGCCCCTTTCCGAGGCACTCTGGACACCTACGGTTGCAGTGCAGGGGTGAGAATAAGCTGGCATGGACTGGGAGCGACGGTAACCCGGGCAACAACTTAGCCATGCTGCCTGGACATCGAAACGCTTGAAACAGTGATGGAGCACCACGAAGATCCCTAATCCGGTAGCCGTTCCTCCATACAGGCAGCTAAAGAGTTTCCGCTCTTTATCCACCTTCCAAATGGCCATTGCGCCGCAGCACCACAGCCCCACAAACACGAACTGCGTTGCCACCAGCGCTAAACACTGAACCTTCAATGAGTACTGGTCCTCCACTGTCATCCCAGCATGCACAGGGCCCACCACAGAGTCTGTCGAGAGCAGGCTGGTGCTGCCGCTGATTGCTGGTTGGCTCTCAGGCAAGGTTGAGGGGATGGAGGCGGAGCAAGGAGGATCTTTGGACTCCTGGATGTTTCGGCGCCTCAGGCAGAAAGCAGTGCACAGGAAGTAGATCCAGGTCACAAGAATGATCAATCCAGCTGGAATGTAGAAAGCTCCGAAACTGGGTTGCCATATCAACCAGCAGCTGGCGAAAGGTCAAGAGCAGTGAAAAAGGTCAGAGAGGGCAAAGGCTGTAATTAGTCAAATAACAGAAACACAAAGCAAGCTCTGTATGAAACAGACACTTTTTAAAGAGCCTGTAAAGGAGCGGCCAACCATGTGTAATAAATCTGCAGCAAGTATCAGACAGTTAGAGAAAGAACAGAAGCTAATAAAAAGCTCTAAGTATGACCTCAGACAATTTCATTTTATATTAAGTGTCGCCAGTCTATCTGTAAGTATGTGACAAAAGCGCCATACAATTCCTAACAAAAATATAATTGTTAAGGCCTAATTATGATTTGCAGTATTGTCTCATAAATTACATAAACACTTACATTAAATCTATTTAGGGGGGATTTGGGTTAATCTTTTCAACATGTTTCTCATAAAATGCCTGTTTTGCTTATCATTCTTTATGTTTCAACAAGTCAGAATGCATCTCAGCATATGTACTGTAATAGCAAATATTTATTATATAAAAAAAATCTATCTATCTATCTATATATATATATTAGTATATATAAGATGTATAAAGGATATATAAATATGAATAGTTGTATATAGGATATAGATATATAAGGATATATAAATATGAATAGT